TTTTTTTTACAAACATGCTACTATAAACCACTGTTTATCAGAAACTAACATTGTGAAAAGAAAAGCTCAAAATCTGCTATGAATTTTAGACAATTAATAATCACAGATAGTCTAACTTTGAACAACTAATACAGTATAGTATAGATAGGAGCTATATAAATTACACTTTGACCAACCAGTTGCTACAAATTAAAGATGGAATAAACTACTATAAATCACTGTTTATCAGATCTAACATCAGAAACTAACATTGTGAAAAGAGACGCTTAAAATCTGCTATGAATTTTAGACAATTAATAATCACAGATAGTCTAATCTTGAACAACTAATATAGTATAGAATATAAATTAGCAGATCTTACAAAAACACTTTGACCAATCAGTTGCTACAAATTAAAGATGAAATAAACTACTATAAATTACTGTTTATCAAATCTAACATCAGAAACTAACATTGTGAAAAGAGACGCTTAAAATCTGCTATGAATTTTAGACAATTACTAATCTCAGACAGTCTAATCTTGAACAACTAATATAGTATAGAATATAAATTAGCAGATCTTACAAAAACACTTTGACCAACCAGTTGCTACAAATTAAAGATGAAATAAACTACTATAAATCACTGTTTATCAAATCTAACATCAGAAACTAACATTGTGAAAAGAGACGCTTAAAATCTGCTATGAATTTTAGACAATTACTAATCTCAGACAGTCTAATCTTGAACAACTAATATAGTATAGAATATAAATTAGCAGATCTTACAAAAACACTTTGACCAACCAGTTGCTACAAATTAAAGATGAAATAAACTACTATAAATCACTGTTTATCAAATCTAACATCAGAAACTAACATTGTGAAAAGAGACGCTTAAAATCTGCTATGAATTTTAGACAATTACTAATCTCAGACAGTCTAATCTTGAACAACTAATATAGTATAGTATATAAATTAGCAGATCTTACAAAAACACTAAAATCATCCGCCTTTTGAAAGGCCGGGCGAATCGAAGAGGAAGATGAGAAGGAAAGATGAAAAATATCAGTATCTAAGAACACCATCTGAGAAGATACATGATAAATAGAAACGTGTCGTCTAAAAGATTGTCATTGAAACAAACGAACTACCAAATTGCATGAACAATTGCCGCCGTGTCTTTTGCTACCTGTTGCCGAACGTTAGAGGTCGCGATCGTGTCTGGAAAGAAAGGAAAGGGGGATATCGCGAGCTGACAATCCCGGAGCGTTTCCGGTGGAACACGAAGGCATAGGCGGAGTCTGCGGAACACGTCGTGCTCCCAGTTGGGGTGAATCCTAATACCCAGATAATGGGAAGTAATTGCGAGGGATCAGAGCCAGAGCGAGCGAACGAAGCTACTCTCTCTCTGTCTCTCTCTCTCTTTCTCCCTTGCTCTCTCTGGGTTCAGGAGCGTGTATAGAGAGAGGGTGGAGGTGTCGGCGTTCTCATCCCCTTGCGGCGCCGGAGATTCGTGGGGGTGGATGAAAAGGACGGTCCAACAGACGCGTACGCACACACATTGACAAGCAGTGGGGTGAGAAGAGGGAGGCGAGAGAGGCAGAGACACGAAGGAACCAGAGGATACGAGGGAGACAGAGGCCTATAATCATATTACCCGGGCTAAATCACGCTGCACATTCTCAAATACGGATCTACGATGGATCATGGTGTTTTGTAACGGAAAAAACACTTGTGTTGCACGTTCGTGCAACGACATTCGTTTGATTGTGTTTCTACGTGGAGCACAGAGGTGGAGCAAGATCCTGTGTTCCTGTCGTTGGGAATTATTTTCCTTCACACACCAACTTGGGAACATTTTAGAATTACGACTTTGTCCAGCCTTTGTCCCCACCAAAAGATGATTCTGCCGTCTATTTTTTCCACTCCTTAGCTATTCTAAGTGATAAGCTCGCGCAGAGCATTACAGCGCGGTGGGTTGAAGACACTGATAGCTCGAGGAGGAAGTTTGTTTCTTCTTTGATACAATTAAAGGATACTTGCTTGGAATTTGATAGGTAAATGGAATTTTAGAGACACGGAGGGTAGGAGATGTTTGGACAAGTTTCACGGAGCGGTTATACGCGAATATCAATGTTAAAGGAGATTTTAGATCAAATTGTTATCTAGATAGGAGTGATGTCGTTTGAAATAGCATTGACAACATATCGATATCACGTTATAAATCATATCTTTAAATAGGATGTTTGCATCACGGAGAAACATTTTTCTGGGTAAGAGAAAATTTTCTTCGTTTGCATTGACTGTCACTGATACGCGCCTTTTTTTTCCCCCTTGTACCTTATCTCCTCTACTTCATCGACACGTTCAGCAAGGGTCAAGCGTCAGGACCTTTCATCACACCTTCTCCTGGCATACACCCTCGTTCAAAAGTATGAAGATACTCGTTCCATTACAGGAGACACCTGGAAAAAGTTACGATACAATTAATGAATTTTTTTTTACCAAATTTTGCATACCTGGTGTAATAAAAAATAATTAATAATTCACTAAAATGGTGCACAATCTTACCTGAGACACGAATCGATAATTCTCCTCTGACAAATGAGCATGACCATACGTTTATTAGTGATCTTTATACTAAATCTCGTGTGGATTTGTACAAATTGAACAGTAACGCAGCAAATTCAAAGATATGAAAACACGTACGATCTCCATTTCATTTAGAAAAATATAAATTCCCAGGTACTGTTCTTTTTTAACCAACCAGCGTCTAAAACAAACATCAAATCATCGTAGTACCAACGCCTGTTTTCAACGTACCTCCGTCGTCCCTTAAACATCCAAGCGTTCGACACCCCCTCACACGTAGGCTATATTACAAAATATTTTCTTTGATGTCGGAACGGTAGATCTCGCGTTCGCGATATTGCCCGCTGGCGAACGGAGAGACAACAGAGGAGGAGAAGAGGCAGCGGGAGAGGAGAAGCAAGCATCTCGTAAACTAATGAGATCATGGCAGGCCATTTATGACGTTTAAATTCCGTTAAGACGTCTGTTATTACGGCACCGTAAATAAAGGGAGGGGAAAATTCGCACCCCTTGCCGGGCCGAAAGGGAGAGACAGGAATGCGGCGAAAATAATGAAATAAAGGACAATGAAATGGCAGGTACAATAGCCAATGGAGCAAGGCTAGGATGGATGAGAATGAACAAGGCGGCAAGTACAGAGAACCCCCAATGGTGCGGACACAGTGGGCAGAGGAACGACCGGCAGAAGGAGGGAGAGACAGAGAGAGAGAGAGAGAGGTAGCGAGGGGATGAATGGGGAGCTGGTAGCTGCGCGCGGACTAAATGCAGTGGGCGGGTTCCCATTACTTTCATTATTTTCCGTCATAGGGGTTCAGCACCGATATGCGCAGCACAGGATGCTGCAGTCTGCAAAGCGCGAGGATTGCTTCGAGTAGACAGCTACCTGCCTGTCTGCTTCACCCGCGTTCGTTCATGGTCCCTTTTTCTTTCCTTTCCAAGCGTGTGTCACCTCCCCTCTCCTCATGCTCGTCTGAAACGGATAACAATCGAGTCAACCTTAACGTGTAATTGTGTAAATGAGGCGGTACACTCGGTGAAAACGATACGCTAAGAGACAAGTAAAGCAAGACCTTGGCCACAGTGTATGAATGAACTTTCTGAAGAAACAACTGGCTCCGATGGACGCGCCAATGGAATGATCAATAGATTGCGAATGATCTTGTTTTACACTTGCACAAGCGTACGATTGATATCATTGAGAATTTGTTTGATGGGAAAAATTTATTAAATGGAAAGAGCAGGTGTGATGTTGGATATAACAAACTTCAAAAGTTACGGTGTCCAATATGAAAGACTTAGGCGAGAAACAGGCAGTATAATAGATTGAAAGCGTTTCTAAAATATGATACCAGGAATAGATTATTCATATTTTAACGAGTCGTCCACGTTACAAATTGATATCGTAACGTGAACGATGTAACGAAACGAGTTCGTTTATCGCTAATCTGATTTCACGCGGTCGAGATGCTGATGAGAAAATCGCACAATTTCGACGAACTGAATTACAAAACGTGTTACGCGCCATCCGAAAGTCGACTGAACCGCTGTACTCAATAATTGCATTCGTAACAGCGGTCTATGATTTTCCCTGACTTCTTAGAAAGCATATATTTCGCTATCGTCATAAATATTTTGGACATTATATTTAACGTTACATGAAAGAAAGAACTGTAGAGCCTGAGAAATCAAAATAATTCACCTCTTTTTCAAATTTACTTTAATTTCAATACTACAACATTGAAATTAAAACACGCGAGATGGCGATAAAAAAAAAAAAGGCTAGTATGTAAGGGACACGAAAAAGTTTATAAGTGATTTTATACCGCTAAATCCGATCGACAAACTTACATTAGATTGTACACTAAATTGAGTGCATTACGGATTACAAAGTGTATAATCTGAAACAGTACGTCATAGGTACATCAAAGGGGAGGAGATTATCGTACGTACGAGGCACCCCACGCGCACGCACTAATTCGAGGAAATCAAATTACTTTAGCTAGCAGATAAGATCTATGAAAGTTTCCATGCAGGATCGATAAGAGTTTATAACCGATCATATTATTCAATCAACGACGAAGATTAAAGATTCGATGAAATATCCCTGGCCCAGCTATTTCCATAGCAAAGAGAACGTGTAATTTCAACACGTTCGCAGCTGTTTCAGCAATTTTATCAAGATCCTGAAACAGTTTTTATCACAGTATAGTCTATATTTCTAAATATCGTATTTCTCGTGCTCGCTGAGCAAAATGACTAAAGTACTATCGTTTGAAATATTACCTCTGAGAGAGACGAGAAATCGCAAGACTGGATATTGCGGGGAACGCAATCTGAGGAGTTAAATCATTCGCAGAGCTAAAAGTTTGCAAGCGGTGGTTGAGAGACAATGGAGAGAGTTCTGGTTGGTGCGGCGTGGAGAAAGGGGATGGAAACAGACTCCCAGTAGATTTATTCGAAGGGTTCGCAGAGGCCATTGGATTGACACGCGGCGACGTCTTGACAGCTTGTTAGGCTAACGGTTGCGTGCTGCTCATCGAACACGATGCGCTTGAGCCTCTTTATTGCTCTTTACCTTGACATTTCACTTCTGATCAAACGTTATACCACTGTCTGTCCCATGTTTTCCCGTTGCATCGCCGCCCCCGTCGTATTTAAAACGGGTCGTTGTTGCAGTCGTAGCTACAGTCAATATTTTGCCTGAAATTTTAATGCCCGTTTTAAATGTGAATATACGACGTGATGAAACAATCGATACGAAATTAAATCCCACGCAATGAAAAATATAGATTGTACACTTACACTTACGCTAGAAGTCCTACAGCGTAGATCCTTCTTAGATCTTGTCCAGGATTTTCAGACTTTTCTACGCTAACAAACAACACACGTTGTGCGTTTAATTTTTTTTTCTATTTCAGTTAAAAATGAAGCTTAATAAAGCTTTGAAGGAATGTACGTTTGAAAACGTACATATATATATATTCAAGTGTGTGACATAAATTTGCAAAGAAAAGGGGACGAAACTACTGTGATACGATGTGATATCCGTTGAAATCTGGAGAACCGGAGGAAGGATCAGGCTCGACGAGAGGATATTTCGTGGTGGAGGGAACAGCATTACTGTCCACGTGCCGTTTAACTTGATCACCCTGGCCAATCTGGCCTCATTTCAACCTCCAGTTACTACGGCACTTCCGCTAACAAATAATATTGTTGACGACCCTGCGGGGGCGTTCTGATTCGATTTGCTACACTATAAAAGCGTGCTGCTGGGGAGAGCCAGTAACAGAACGGGGAAAGCTTCACGACGACTGGCGAAGAAACGATGAATAAAAGGAAAAGGAAAGACCTGAAGAGAGAGAGTAAAAGAAACAGGGAGCCTGAAGAATTGTGTATTACTGATACGTCACTAGGGCACGTTTTTTGAATGATAAGAGTTGGCGAGGGTAAAAATAAAACAGTCAAATGAAATTTATATTTCAATGAAAAAAAAAAAAGAAAAATGAAGGTGAAATTCATTTGCAACAAAATAAAAATAAACACAGAATACATGTTTGAACGAAGTAAGAATAAGAGTGAACGTAAAATTTTGGAGACAAGCTTCAGTAAGAGGCTTAAGTTTGTCAAGATTTTCAAGTGGACATTTTTTTCAATTTTTCAATTAAATATCTCTTTAAAAAGAAAAAAAAAAAAGAGAACAATCATCAACGTAAAAAACAAAACAAAATCAAAATTGTGATACCAGAGTCATCTCCTTATGAATCTCGCTTATTCAATCACTAAAATAAAATACATACAATCTTGCGTGAAAGTTCAGCAACAGTGATATTCGTTATGTCTTCTCTTCAGTCACAAATTCATTTATCACAATTAACTGTAACGACACATACAAGACGGTCAAACGAAATTCATATTTCAATAAAAAATAAATAAATACACATAAACAGAGAATACAGATTTAAACAAATCTCTTCAAAGAGAAAAAAATAGAATAATTATTAATATAAAAAAGCAAAACAAAATCAAAATTGCAGTTTCAACGATACCTCACCACTTGCGATACCAGAGCCATCTTCTCACGAATCTCGCTTATTCAATCGCTAAAATAAAATGCACAGATCCTCGCGTGAAAGTAATTTTCGTTACGTCTTCTCTTCAATTACGTTATTCATTTGTCACAATCGACCATGTAACGATACATACACACGTACGTGACAGTGGGTGAAGAGTGGACAGTGACACGGTGCACGGGGATTCTCGTCTGGAAGAGAGGAAGGAAAAAAATAATTATCAACGTGATACGCAGCGACAACGTGCTGGAAAGCGTGGCTACGGTCTAATTAGTCCGGTTATTTAGTTAGGGAACGGAGATGCGAGAAGTTTACTCGGCCGTTCGGTGCTAGAGCCACTAAAGATTCGTATCTCCAGGACGTGTTTAAAAATAATTACCGCGGAAGATCCAGCGATAGTCACGGAGTCGCCCTCACCTTTGTGCTTCCTGCACTCTGGAGTGGGCCCTCGTTGTTACGGCATAAAGGCAGCCCCAGCCAACCTCTTCAGTACGTCCTCGCGTCTCTTCCGGCACCGCTCGAGTGCCTCCTCACCTTTCAACCACTCTATCACCGCGTTTAAAGAAGTAAAGACCAAAGGTCCTTTACCGTTTTAAGGGGTTAGACCGCCTCGGAAAGGAATTTATTCGACAATGACAATGTGACACGACGATGTGCACCACCGGGGAAGGGGGGCGATACGCCTTATTAAATCGACGGATACACCCTTTCGTTCGTACCACCAGACGTTCAATAGATATTCGAGAATCGACCGTGAAGGATACGATAAAAAACTAAAGACCAAAGATCTCTTGCTTCTGGTTGAAGTGGCGTCCCGGAAGAACAGAAGGTATACGAGGCGTCACGTGATCATTAAGTTCGCGCGATTTTTACCAGGCGACGTAGCTCTCTGGATTAATCTTTTTTTTGCGCCAGTAACTGGTTCACGGACCATAACGAGTGACCAAACCGTATGCAATAATTCGTTTTCCTCTTGAATTCATCGGTATAACACTGGATAAAAATTACCAAGAAGTGATAAATTTATTATTTGTTTTGCCTGGGTTATTAGTTCAATACACTTAAAACTGAGGAAATATCGCAATTTTGGGATACCCAAATATTCTCGACGTGCGTAGTACGTCATTCCAACGCAAGAGGTTAACACGCGGTAATTAATTCAATTGCTCTTTTACAAAACGAATCTTGATTGTTATAAAATTTCGGGAGAAACAGTATATCGATGACTTTGTTCTTCGCGATCATCGTAAAACAAACTATGGAAGTAACTTTTTCAAC